CACACAGGTACGGCTTACCGACAACCGTTTCACGACTAGGTACTATAGCTTCGCCAAGTTTCATACTGGAGGTAGTGTAAGCAGTATCCACTTCCACGGTCTCCCCAGTAGCCAAGGATTCTAACTGAAATGACACTCGCTCACATACTACTGTTTTCGCAGAATTGAAAGTATTTACAACCAAGGGTTGCTTTGGGCCTTTAATACCCAAGCAACCAGCCAGTTCAGCATCTATCAATGTAACGTCTGAACCATTATCCAACAATGCATAAGTCTCTACTGAAGATTTCGGTCCTTTCACCTTAACTGGTAATACCCCTAAGAAAACTTGTGGGATGTCAAGGGGTCTAGAGATACTATTACAATTAACCGAACTCCCAGGTTCGTTCACTGTTCTCAGAAGTGGGTGCATATCCGTTAAACCACTACTTCCTTTATTTGTCGCCTTACAATTCCACTTTGTATGCCCAATCTTTAAACAACTGAAACACAGCCGCTTCTGCTTTGCCATTTTTAACCTTTCTACGGGTGACATAGCGATAAAGCGATTACAATCACTCAATTGATGCATGTTATGGCAGACAATACACTCATCCTTTCTCGTTGTGTCTTGAGACTTCACCACAAATGCCTTCCTTATATTCACTGGTTCCTTAGGTTCTACCTTAGAATGCAAAATGCTGGCGAATTTGCCCATCGCCTGGTTGACACTGTCCTTCACCAGTCTAAGAATATCATCAAACCTTGGCTCGATACCCTCCTCCTCTATACGAGAGCTTATTTTTACCCATTTCCTTTGCAGCCGCGTAGGTAGGCGTCTTGCAATTACCTCTAGGACTGAGCTGGAGTTGAGGTCACTCATGAAATTCATAGAAATCAAGGTATTCTTGTAAGTCATAAGATTGTCTAAAAACTCAGTGAGTGCCTTGGAGTCATCTTGAAGTTGACTGCCATTACCCTTGACAGCTTCGTATACGTTCCTTACAATCATCGAAGGCCTTCCAAACCTTTGACGTAATATGCTCATAGCCTCAGCGTATCCCTCATTAGGGGGCATGAGCTTACAGCACTGTATAGCTCTTGAAGCATCTCCAGTGCAATACCTCATCAAATACATCAATTTCAATTCATCACTTAATAAAAAACTACTCAGCATGATCTCAAACTCCTTAACAAACTGTAAATAATCGGCCGGGTTTCCATCAAAACACCGTGGTTCAAACTTAGGGAGTTTGATGTTCCTATTATCCCTGAACGGCGAAACAGTAACATCAACCATGTCATGCTTAACATCAGACACATCGTTACAATTAACAGACAAGTCACCATGACTTACTTTCCTGTTTGCATCCAAGACACTCTGTCCCTTCTTTGACCCAGGCATTGTTGAACTTGACCCAATTCCAAAAAAGTTCCAGATATTGCTTGTTCAAAGAGGACTTGACCGGCACCAGGAAAGATGAACGGCGACTATCCAAACTTTCACCAACTGTTTGAATCCGCCAGATCTGTTTCTATCGTCAGAAACTGTCAATCACGTCTCATAAACCGTTAATGCCCAGCTCTCGCTACGCTCGGGCCCACGCTGTTCCTTGAAGATTTCAGAAACGCTTAGTTATAACGGACGAAAAAACCAAAACACCGATCTGCCGCTTGATATTTCTTTATTGTTACACCAACATATAAAAAGAATAAGTGAACTAAGGTCTGTGAACAAATATTACAATAATAAATCATTGTATTACTTCTGACGATGTTTCACTCTTCTTTCTGAACAGCGACCGATGAGACGATGACTGTCGTATTGATGCCTCCGCGAAAATTGGGGAAGTTGATTTTGAGCAAACAACCAAGAATTGATCGTTCAATCTTCAACTCCATTGACAATTGGTGTTCTGGTTTTTTCGTCCGTTATTACTAAGCGTTTCTGAGAAACTTCAAGGAACAGAGTGAGCCCGAGTGCAGCAAGAGCTGGGCATTAACGGTTTACGAGACTTGGCTGACAATCGTAGTGTCGTAGGAATGAGCATTTGACAAAATAAGAATAAATATGTCCCACTAATGTGAGTCTGCGAAACCTGCCCTTTAAATTGCCCTGAGTCTGGTGTGGGATAAATGAGTTGGGTGAACAGATGTCTGCAATGTTATGTAAATTGGGTATAAAACCTCTAAGGGTATCTATAAATTTCTGAGTGAGTTAAATGCCCAAACAGAAGATAACGCACATGAATAAATGTCAGTTCTCCAGTAAGACGGGATTAGAAATTGAAGGTTGAGGTATTCTCTTTATTTGGCCCGGACCAGGTCCAGAATAAAGATATATGTTGTTTGATGTTAAGTCAACAGCAGACATCACTAATTTTTTTTTATTTTTTTTTATTTTTTATTATTTTATTTTTATTTTTTTTATTTTTGATTTACAGCTTGATTCCACACTGTATTTTCGGTACAAGTATGGAATTTTCAGCATGGATATCGGTAGCCCAAATTTTGCAGGCCGACCATAGATATCAGGTGTGCGTCGGTGCGGGCTCGAACCCCGGACCATGTGCATGGTCGGCGAGAGTCCTAACCACTGTGCCACCGACGCACACTAATGTGGATGAGTGTATAAAAATCTTTAAAAGATTGACCTGCTGGTATTTTATTGTAGCGGACAAGCAAAAGGAGAAAGATGGTGATACTGTGGTTTTGTGATACAAACAATGGGTTCCAATGGAATATTATTCCCACAATAAAATTCATTGTTTGTTGATGTCAACGTCTGATAACTATTCCCACGGTTCAATAGTGCCTTATCGACAGAATAATATATGTATTTGAACATTCCATTTCATTTCGTTGAATGCAAGCCAAAAATCACAGGCCTAGCGATTGGTTGAAGAATATAAACTGTATCGATATATATATATATATATATATATATATATATATATATATATATATATATATATATATATATATATACAGCTGTTTCATCACCTGAAAATACACCCTGACTTCCGTGTCTTGCTTCCTGCTATTACAATACTAGATTTAATTTCTAGGATATCTTCAGTCCATAGGATATTTCATGAACCCTACGATCACTAATTAGGTTAATGATTATGAAGTAGAGGGGGAAGAAAAAAATAGAGCAATATGGATCAAACCTTACACCCATGTAGGGATTCTATTTACAACTGAACTGTATTCGCTATATAATGACCGTCTGCGTATTTGACCAGGCTACTCTTCTCTACTGCTCATCATTGTGATTATTGAATGCGCGTTATTCACCTGCTGCTTCCTTGAAAGGGGCTGTTAATCCGTTAATTACTTTGATGGCAGCTGGCCATTAAAAGTTTAACTTGAGAATCACCGACTAGACTACCTCAATGCAAGGATGATACAATCCGGAGGATTTGTACATGATTTTGTGGGTACTGGAAGCGTATGTTGTTCTTACTTCTGATCACAGCCTAAGTTCTGTCATCGTAAGGTTGGCTGTTTGCTTGTGCACGATCAGTTTTCATAAACATGCCTACCTCTTCAAAAAGTTGATGACTGTGTCATCAGCACTACGGTAGTAGACATAATTAGTTAGCTGTTTTCTTTGTGTAATGGTTTGTAAATGGCATCACGAACCTGATGCCTCACATAAATACAGAAATGTTTTCTATATAGTGCTTATGCATATCGACTGCTACGACATTGTGCGTGTATTGGACACGCTGTGTTGCTTCGGTGGCTATGTTATTTGCAACTCTCTTGAAACTCTAACGTATCATAATTAGGGCTTACGAGGACGCTAAATACATATCTAAGGGTTGCTGGGTTTTGTGGACCATCTTAATAATCTATGTTCTAGTGTTGGTTTGTATGTTCTGACAAAGATTGGTATTTGTAGAGGTAATTAGGTAATCCCGCAACTGTATTCTCTACGTAGTTTGCCTGCACGAAGTAAGGAATGAGCTGTGGGAATTTTTTGATGGAATCACTTTGCTTGTATGAGGGGTTTTAGATCCATACTTAGCTGCAGAGCAAAAAACTTTGTGCAATACTACTGAATACATTCATCGGGTTGGGATTTGTTGAAAAAGAAACTGGACTAAACATTGAGTGTTTTTGGGTGGCGAGCGCATAACAGGGTTACATTACGCACCCACGTGTTATTATCCTCTAGTAAACAACTTAAGGAATGGTACTGTCTGAAGCGCAAGTAGTAGCCGTAATGATTGGTGGAAAACCTTTTACATAAAGAACAACTACTAGATAGTTTGTGCTTTGAAATTTTGTGAAACACATGAAATTGTGTCACTTCACGCTCGTCAGTGACACAGACTCACATATATCGAAGCCATGTTCATGAATACTGTAAGTCCTGCTGTCAGCTTTACAACCCATTTAATACCACCCGGGAGCCGTAACACCACCAAAAAGGTCTAACAACACGAATTTCTTGGTATCGAGAGGGATTATAACTTGTGGGACAAATTTATACCCATTCTGAATATTCTTTTTCATTCTAAGCGTTCTGAATGCAGCATGGAGTTCCTACCCTTCAATTTGCAGCAATAGTGCTGCACTCCACCTTCTATCTTCCTCAGGCTTATCACACGCCGTGGATCAAGGCGAGAATTCGGCATTTCATAAGGCCCAAAAAATCAGTGCTTGAAATCTTATTCTCACAAGCGAGCCACTGGTGAGGCTCTTCAAGTTGAGTGTCAAGAAAAATCCCTCGAATGACATTGGTTATTTCGCTTCGTAAGCTAAGGGGAAAGGGGTTGAGGCCATAAGTTTGCAATAAAGAAGAGTCCTAAACAAGATCGAAACAAATATCCAGGACTTTTCAATGGTTCTCTTACTGAGGTCAGTTCGTGCTCGATTCTCCAAACTATTATTAGTCTTCGTCGGACTTCGGTAAACACTCTTCATTTTATGTGCACTACTAAGTTGGCTATAATGTGGTCAGTTAGCTTGAATAGGCAATGTCCTCCGCTGAATATCATATTGAGCAATGAACCTTAGGAACGTATTTGAATGTGACGGTACAATGGATGAAAGTGCAGATAGCATTGGTTTTCTGGCGAAGGCCCAAGTGACGTCTTGTTTGGGGTAATCTGACTTCATAAACTTTTCCGTTCAACTAAAGACTCTTTGGTTTATTTATTTCAAGTCTTTTATTGAGCTATGCTACACCCACCTACTGTTTGTAAGTGAAGTTATCGGGCAATAAATTCCACTTTCTCACTGCTCCTAATGACAAAGAATGTCACTACACATCCTTGAGGCCAGAAATTTTGTTTCGTATGAGAAGTTTATCAATGAGTAGAGGTGTTATTATAAAAAGCTGTACAAGCTTATTATTACCAATTTCTTATGGAAGTGTGGCGTGTAAAAGTCCTTGAACTAACACACCTTATATTAGTCACCTACATATAGTGTAATAAACGTATTCGTTATGACGGTGCTTAAGCAACTTGATACTCATAATGTTATATTTATTTTATGCTTTTATATTATAGATTCTGGTCTTCAAGTTATACGTGCCTTATTTTAAATAAACTTTAAAAATTCCTGACATTATATATATACAAACGCACCTATATAGGATGCACTATGTGCTCACATCACACTAACGATGTATAAATTCACTAATGTGCATGTGTCTACAAAGTGACCTTAGCATTTTTACGGCAGAGGTTGGCTTTGCCATATGGAAACCAAGGTCTAAACCTGCATTAAATTGGAGGTTTCAGCAGTTATCATATAGACACAAGAGAATCCCGAAAAATGGGCAGTTCCCTTTATTATTTCTGAACTCACATTTGATGATATTCAATTTGTGTATTCTGTGGGTATTCAAATCTTTGATCTTTTGTTGAGTTACACGTTCTTATTGAACCAAAAACTACAAAATAATTTGTGAGGCGGTAAGTTGCTATAAAAGTGTGTAATAAAACTAGTTAGGATTTCATGGAGCTTTATTTTAAGCAATCATTTTCAGCGTACTCTGTGTATAATGCCATCTATTAATAATTGTATCGTATTTGCTTTTGTCGAATTTCTACACTGGACTTAGTATTAAGATTCTGATTAGTGATATTGGATATCCTTCATTTTACTAAGTTTGTAGCCTTTTAGGCCTAAATAGTAGGGCTGTCTTCCCTACATGTATCTTTGTCGCCATCGACTTCTCTTTAGGCATCCATATAGTGGATTTTATCTTTTATTATTTAGTATATTTCACAATCTAGCACACACTACATTTGAATTGCAGGCTTAAGAAGATGACGTTTAAAGAATGGGAAAAATGTAAGTTAAAATCCTTTCCAAGGAATAACAATAAAGAGAAAAGCACTTGGAAATTTCGCTTAATCAGGCTGTAAGGTTTTCAAGCAGTGATTATTAGGTACGAGTTACAAATCACCTTGTTGCCTATCTGACTCATTTAAATAATCTTTTTTAAACCCTGGTAAATGAAAGTTTAGCATCGAAATCACTGAACTATGGTTGTGTGGTCATGGCGAATATATGTTATTGGCGTCATATCGTGTGCCTTTTATGATCTTCAATAACTTTTCCACTCCTATGCGTAACAAAAGTGGGTGGTTCTGGTTCTGGATAAGAACTAGAACTGATGACCTTCACTACCAGCACTCACTGTATTTTGTCTGTGTTTGCTGTTGTGATGTGTTCACTCCTACGTGCCTTCACCAAAAGGAATCAAATTCTTACAAACCGAAAATATAAATATAAAATATTTGTAGATTTCTTAGTTTTATACAAGATAAGCACTTCTTATTCAAGTATAGGTCTGATGTTGGAAACTACTACTGAGATTATTACGAATCGGAGATCTGACCAGTTTTGATTCTCATTCGTTTTACTTCCCGTAGTGGAGCTTGTTGATATTAAACGCCACCTATTGATCGTATCGCCTTTGTAGCTAAAGTCAAATATCCATTTTCAGCTTCATGCAAATATAGGACTCAGTTGAAAAACAGAGAGTTGGTCGTATTGATGAAAAATTGTGCTCCCAGGCAAATCTGCGGAAAGTTAGATGATTCGTGCGCATATTAGCATTCTTTGGAAAATGTCAGTTTGACAGGACGCAATCTAAGAGTTGCAATTTCCGAATATGTTAAAGTTTTGCTATGTCGGAGAAATTTCTGAAAGTACAAAATTTGAACATTTAAGGTCTTTCATCGTTGAGGAAGACTTTACCTCATGCATGTGTTTAAGCAAGTAGAAGAGACTTTCATCTTTCAACTATTATCTGGTTATAAATTATGTTGCCTCCAGAATTTGAATACTTAAGTGTTTTAAGATTATATCGCAGGGGTTGCATCAGGTTATGAGTTTTCTATTTCACATTTACGGTTAACTGTTATCACCGATAATCTTTTAGCTAGTTATTGTTGTTTTGCTGTTTGAACAAATGATGGTATTACTTGATTATTAATTGCAGATCAAGACCGATGGCTGAACGATTGTCCGATAAAGGCACTTACCTAACAGTATCCGTAGCTGATTTACACAATCCTTATCTTAGCTATCCAACAGTTAGAACCCGTAGCTCTGGGAGGGCTTGCCGTGGCGAATGTATTCTTATAAACCAAAGAGATTTTCATCCCTCGACCAATCAAACACGACGCGATGGTACAGATATTGATGCTGATCGTGTTGAAAGAGTATTCAAAAGTTTGAACTACAGAGTGACACGTATACTCAACGTTACAAAAAGTGTACTTCATCAGACGCTTGTAGAAGGTGAGTAATATATATATATATATATATATATATATATATATATATATATACATATCCAACGTTTGTCATCCGTAGAGTTTATGTTTTGACATAGTTACAGATACAGTTACAGATAAAAATCCGTGTACCAGATTTCGCTGTACAAAACTGACTTTAGTTTAGATTTCTACATTCTAAACCATATTAACGATAGGAAATATCGTGAGAAAAGTAACGAAAACAAACGTACAAGCAAACTCTCTAGGACTTCCTTCTGAAATTTTCATAAGGTCAATACTATAAATGTTTCTAAGTAAGCGATTATCAAATTTATAGATAACATGTTATCCCATGTTGAAGCGTTAAGACTGGTTACTACATACGACCATAACATCTGGTCAACCTTAGCATTTTTTAATATGACCGTTTATGGTTATCTTAACCTCATAGCCTTCGTCGATGGGAAATGTTAGCTGACATAGGGTCAGGTTAGAAAAGACCCAACGGTGGCAAACCTAAACATAGCCTCATCAGTCACTCAAATACACAGCAGTTAGCTTAAGCCAGTCACGTAGGGAGATGTAGACTTCGTGGTTGATTGGGGTCCTCGGGATGGTAAACACCAGTGGGTGGAGACAATTGGTGATATGGCCCAAAATCATTCTTAGTAGCTGGCACAGATGCATTCACTCCTTGTAATTTATTACGTTTAATAGAACTGTTGTGAACTTTTCTTATAATACGTATCTAGTCATATTCATATCTCTACCGCTATTAACACTCTTTTTTTCCTTTATATGTTTAAGCCATTCCGGCTTCATTGTAAAATGAATAAAGCCTAAATTCTTGGTTCATTCGTCTTTTCAAGATTCAAGCATCACTCATCGTTCTAAGACTCAATCACCTTCGTAACAATTTATTCATTTTACAATATTCATGGAACGATTTTTCCGACCTGATCGGTTCGACGTAGAACCTAACGCAGTTGGAGCTGCCAAGAAGTGGGATCACTGGTTTGCGACTTTTTCCTACTTCATTGAATCAATGGGATCCGAAAATCCTTCGAAACTACATATTCTCTTCAATCATATTTCTACTTCTGTATACGAATGCATTTCTGAATGCAAAACATACGAAGAAGCTATCGACACTCTCAAGAGTCTCTACATGCAGCCTTGCAACGAAGTGTTTGCTCGACACTTGTTAGCAACGTGTAAACAAGAATCTGGCGAAAATCTGGATCAGTTTGTTCGTCGACTCAAGTCGCTGACTACAGATTGTTCATTCAGGGCAGTTACAGCCGAAGAACATCGTAACGAATCTCTACGTGATTCATTCATCTCAGGTATACAGTCTTCGATGATACGCCAGAGGCTATTAGAACAGCGTACTTTAACTTTTCAAGCGGCATACGATCAAGCACGAGCTCTAGAGATGGCACATCAACAATCGCAGTCATACAACAATCCTGTTACACCTTGCGCGTCCATTTCTTTACATGATGTACCTCATTCATCAGATTCCACACCCTCCGTCAATGAAACAACCATTGCTGCCGTTGAATCCAAATGCTTTTTCTGTGGTAATCGTAGACATCCTCGTTCCAAATGCCCCGCCCGTGATGCAGTTTGCAAAGCTTGTGGCAAGCAAGGACATTTTCAGAAGGTTTGCAGGTCTGCGCCATCTACGAAAAAAGGTCCATCTTCAGTTAACTCTATAATTTCATCTCTCGTTGTGGCTTCAGCACCTCAAAGTCTCACTGATGCTGTTACGCAGCTTACTGTCAATGGGAAATCAATGCAAGCTCTAGTGGATACCGGAAGCAGTGAGAGCTACATCTCTTCCTCAGTTGTTCGTAAGTATAACTGGAAAGTCCATAAGTCTCGAAACAGAATCACAATGGCGAGTACGAATCTTACTAGTCATACTGAAGGACATTGTCTTCTATCCATCTGCTATAAAAACCACACTTATGATCTATTCAAATTTTCCATTCTTCATAATTTATGTGCAGACGTCCTTCTTGGACATGATTTTTTAAAACTTCACAAACACATTGAGATTCCTTTTGGGGGATCAAAGCCGCCTTTTTCTCTCTGTGGTCTACCTTGTGTTCGCGTCGACCTGCCTACTCTGTTTGAAAATCTTTCAAAAGACTGTAAACCGATCGCGATAAAATCCCGGCGTTATTCTCGTGAAGATGAAAGTTTTATTTCCACCGAAGTCAACCGGTTACTGCAAGAAGGTGTTATTGAACCTTCTAATTCTCCTTGGCGAGCTCAAGTTCTTGTTACGTCAAACGAACGCCATAAAAAGAGGATGGTAGTTGATTATAGTCAGACAATCAATCGATTCACTTTTCTGGATGCTTACCCATTACCTAGGATTGACGAAATGATAGAAAAAATCGCACAATATGACATATTCAGCACTCTTGATCTGAAGAATGCTTATCATCAAATTGCCCTAAGGAACGAAGATAAACCATATACTGCTTTCGAGGCTTGTGGGAAACTTTACCAATTTTGCCGAATTCCTTTTGGTGTTACCAATGGCGTAGCTTGTTTTCAACGCATTATCGATGAATTGATCAGTAAAGAACAACTCACAAGCACGTTTGCCTACATTGACAATGTCACTATCTGCGGCAAAACTCAGGAGGAACACGACAAAAATCTAAACAAGTTTATGGTAGCAGCACGCAATTATGGAATAACCCTTAATGATTCCAAAAGTGTGATCTCAAGCAGAAGCATACAATTACTCGGTTATGAAGTTTCAAAGGGGGTTATTAAACCAGATCCCGATCGGCTAAAACCTCTTCGTGATCTAGAACCACCCACAGATATCAAATCTCAACAACGGGCCGTTGGATTATTTGCTTATTATTCACAGTGGATCCCTCGCTTCTCAGATAAAATCCACCCATTGGTAAATAATCGGATTTTCCCTCTTGATATCGAAACTCGAAATGCTTTTGACAAACTGAAAGACGACTTAGAACGTGCAGTCGTTGTGGTAGTTGATCCGAAAGCACCCCTTGTTGTTGAAACAGATGCTTCAGATGTCTCAATTGCAGCTACATTAAACCAGAATGGTAAACCTGTCGCCTTCTTTTCTCGAAGCCTCTCTCGAAGTGAGAAACATCATTCATCGGTTGAGAAAGAAGCCTATGCCGTGGTTGAAGCAATTCGTAAGTGGAAGCATTACCTTCTCGGAAATCACTTCAAACTTGTCACTGATCAACGTTCAGTAGCATTCATGTTTGACAAGATTCATAAAGGCAAAATCAAGAACGATAAAATAATGCGTTGGAGAATTGAGCTATCCCCTTATCAATATGACATCATTTATCGTCCTGGAAGGGATAATCAAGCTGCTGATACATTTTCCCGTAGTTTCTGCGGTTCCTTGCAGTCAGTGTGCGACTTGAAATTTCTCCATGACTCTATGTGCCATCCTGGAGTTGTCCGAATGATGCATTTTGTACGCTCGAGAAACCTTCCATTCTCCCTTGACGAGGTGCGCAATGTAACCAGTAAATGCGTGACATGCTGTGAGTTAAAGCCTCAATTTTACAATCCCTCTAATTTCAAACTCATAAAAGCAACCCAACCTTTTGAAAGGTTAAGCATCGACTTTAAAGGACCTCTACCGTCAGCTAGCCGCAATCACTATCTGCTCACGCTGATCGATGAATATTCTCGATTCCCCTTTGCATTCGCCTGCCCCGACATGTCGTCTCAAACGGTAATGAATTGCCTTTGCCAACTGTTTTCGATTTTCGGTATGCCTTCTTACATACATACCGACAGAGGCGCTGCTTTCATGTCTACCGAATTACGGGCATTTCTTCTGGAGAAAGGCGTAGCAACCAGTCGTACTACCTCATACAATCCTCAAGCCAATGGGCAGGTCGAGCGCCTCAATGGAACACTTTGGCGTGCCATCACTCTAGCATTAAGATCACGGGGCCTACCAACGGCACAATGGGAGTCTGTTCTACTCGACGCCTTGCATTCCATCAGATCTTTGCTCTGTACTGCAACGAACGCCACGCCACACGAACGACTGTTTACCTATAACCGAAGATCGACATCTGGGACAACTCTTCCTACTTGGCTCACTGTACCAGGACCAGTACTTCTCCGGCGGAGTGTTCGTCAGTCCAAATTCGATCCCCTGGTTGAAGAGGTGGAGCTATTGAATTGTAACCCGCAATTCGCTCACGTTCGCTTCGGTAATGGACGTGAAGATACAGTTGCTCTTCATCATCTGGCACCCAAAGGCGAAGATATAGATCAAGTTGAAAATTCAATACCGGAGGGCGACGCAATTCCTGAGCAACAAGTAAATGGGGATGCGACCACTGATCCTAATATTCTTCGTGAAGAAAATACAACTGAAACGAACAACGGGCGTATTCTTTTGGAAAAACAACAACGTGTACGGCCTTACAATTTGCGTACCAGAGAAGCGTGACATAATGGCTCATTCCTTTTCAAGCCGCAGTGAATGTTGTGAACTTTTCTTATAATACGTATCTAGTCATATTCATATCTCTACCGCTATTAACACTCTTTTTTTCCTTTATATGTTTAAGCCATTCCGGCTTCATTGTAAAATGAATAAAGCCTAAATTCTTGGTTCATTCGTCTTTTCAAGATTCAAGCATCACTCATCGTTCTTAGACTCAATCACATTCGTAACAAGAACTTCACTGTTCTTCCATATTAATATTCTTTTTGCCTCACACTTCTGTTTACTATCTGTCTCTCTCTTTTGAATCTCTGTTTACCGTGTTCTCTTGGTTTGTGTGCTACATGGAGTGTGGGAACTCGGACTGCTGTGCATCTGTACATAGTTCTACATTGAAAGCAGTCAGTCAGTCAGTCATGTTAATCACCTAGTTATAAATCAGTAGGAGAAAATTTACCAGTGCCACGTTTTGATTTCCATGATTAGAACTTTCAAGCCTTTATTAAGTCACGTTTCTTCCATCAAATAACAGTGTATAAAGGAATCAGTAATTGCACTCACCTTGTCAAGGTATTATTCAAAGTGTATTGTCATTAGCAGTGAAGACTGGTGAGTTAACAGTAGGATGATAATTGTGGGATTTAACAGTAAACACTGTTATCAAAATAAGTAAATTCATCAGCATTTACTGCATACGAAAGTATGCCACATCAGTGTAGCATTCTGTCAATCTTCTATATGAAGTAAGTGCTGTTAAAGCTTTAAAAAAATATCAACGAATTAGTTAATCATATCTTCATTCCCCTTTTTACACATTATTATTTCCTTTTATAGCTTCTCAAATGGATCATTCAGCCTATGATAGTTTTGTTTTTGTCATGTTGAGTCATGGTGACAACAATGTTGTTTATGCCACAGATGGTGAAATTCTAACCAATTACATTATGGCGTTTTTCCGTGGAGATCGTTGTTCTTCTCTGATTGGGAAACCTAAACTGTTCTTCTTTCAGGTTAGTTAATCTTTTTTGATGATTCATATACAGTTCTAGTTACGAGAATTATGAAATTTGATAAGGTTAAAATTGCTATTGAGTGATAATAAAGGTAGTTGAGTGTCAATTTAACAAGTGTGAAAACGTACAAAGGGTGCATATGGGACATATGGAATTCCGAATACCTACATCGAATTGATAACTAAAGAGTTCAACAGCTGCCATCATGCCATCCAATGCACATTGGAATGAGAGATAAACTCAGAATTCCACTTTTGGATGTTTTTTCTAAAAAGGAGCTTTGATGGATTTCTTCAAAGATCGATCTACAGAAAGCCAACATAGAATGGTCAGTACACGAATTTTCATAGCCTTCTTTACGGCGGAGCTTCGCATCAATTTCTACAGCCGACAAATGGTCAATAGATGTGTGAAGGATAACTCGCCGCTTTGGGCCACTTCAGTGTGTGTTTGTAAATTCACCTCATCCTGTGGAGCTAGTTATATTGGCCGCACAAAACACACTTTCCAAACGCATCTCTGAACATTATCCTATATGGTTAGAAAAAGGACAATGCAAGACAATTACTAGCTCAATTCTCGAGCACCTCGTGAACTCAAGCCACGTAGCTCTACCAGAGTCGTCCTTCAATATCATCTACAAGGTGAGGCCATACGGTACAGATGGTGTCAAGTTTCGACTTTTGTGTATGGCGGAGGCACTGGCGATTCGTCAATACAACCCCGAACTCTGTATACAGAAAACGTTTGTCCAGTCTCTTATTCTACCTTGTTCTTAACCTCTTCACAGTAAAAATTTCAATTTTTTTTAAATTTTAAATTTTACTTTTAGTTTGCTTTTACTTTGATAATTAATTCACTATTATCATTCACATATGTTCCTTTTGCACGTTTTCATACCCTTTTCACATTTCCTAAATTTATAAAAAAAAGATAACAGACTCAGAGAATAGACTCGATGGTGACTATGCTCTAGTAATAAGTGGAATCACGCAAAAACGTCTCTTCTTTTGAACAGTTTTCTCTGTTTTGTTTTCCTACATGTTTTTTTTTCAGTTCAAGGTTTTGTAGGTCTTAACGTATTCATTGCTTTCTTTGTGGGCTGAGTGTGTAATATCTAAGTCGGGAGACACTGTAATGCTTAATCTCATTGGTAAAATCCTTGTGCCAAGTGTAATCTTACTCTATTCACTTGTTGCACTTTGTTACCTTGTAAACTGATATGTGAAACCTTTTAATCATTTTTATGATTATGAATACTACCACCCTTATTAACTTTTAATCATGCAAGTAGCGAATCTTACAGAGTTTACAGCTTGACACGAAAAATAGTGAAACGTTTGACGATTTTCAGTGGTTACGGCTTTTACCGTTAGTTGTAATTTTTGTTTTTAAAGTACTTTTATTACTATTATTATTATTATTATTATTTTATTATTGTTTCCTTTAGTTCCTAGAGGAACATAAGGCTTCAGCTGTTTATTACTATAAAGCACACATTTTGCAAACTGATTAGTTTATGGGCCCAAACTCCTTATGTTTTTGAAAATTCTTTACGGATCTGTCTAGGATAGCGGCGTTGTCATTGTTTACTCGACACCATTGGTTAGTGCATAGTGTGTGTGGTATGGTATATAAAGTTGTATTTAGTGGACTGAGTTGCGTGTTTTGTTTATCACAACTCAGTTGGTTGCTAGAAATGCTAATAATCAAAGTGAATCCTAATTGAAATTTGAAATTCATATTGAATACCAAGGTATTTAAGTGATCCAATACATAGAAAGACAGAATACACAATATATCAGAGAATTGTTTTTCATACTTTTTGTTGGGATTATTTTCAATTTCGTAAGTTTCGAGATGGGTTTTGTAGCCTAACTTTATTTGAGAAATATTATTAGCTTGTAAGTGCAATATTAAGTATGCATCCTTGAAATGTAAACCACTTTTGATGATTTGGCAGGCTCCTTTGCGCGCTGCTGTCTGTAATAAACAAGAAGCTTAAGTGATCCAGCTGTTACGGACACTTGTAGGAGTGTAGGTGAGATTTGTGACTTTAAATAGAAAATCAGAGTAGTATATACCAAAACATATCATTTCTGGCGTCGTTACAGTGTTCATGTTTCCATAAGGAGTTGGTCTGATTAAGCCTCAGAGCTCTTCAGCTGAATACTTGACCTCCAAGTTGAATACGTCGTATAACTCTGCATATTTCACCATTACAATTTTGTTGAGATTTTTCACTTTAAGTGTCGATTACATGTCAAGTAATCCTCGTATTCTGAGGTATGAAGTTTTGTTAAGGTATTCACTGTGTTACGATGTTTATATCACCTTAGAACAACTATTTCAGTGACCTGGACATGTGTTATGTATATTGTGCGCCGGTGGCACAGTGGTTAGGACTCTCGCCGACCATGCACATGGTCCCGGGTTCGAACCCTCGCCAGCGCACACCTGATATCTATGGTCGGCCTGCGAATTTTGGGCTACCGATATCCACGCTGAAAATTCCATACTTGTACCAAAAATACGGTGTGGAATCAAGCTGTAATCAAAAATAAATAAATAAATAATTGTCCAGCAGCAGCTGCCACACTATTTAATAACAGTGTGAGTGGTCGAGAAAAATCACGGAGAGGTAATCTGTCCATGACACATAACCATGATATAGAGATTAATTGTATTATGGTACATCACGGGTATCTGGATAGGCTGAGGAAAACTACACACACAACTCAGTCACTCAAGACGTTCAAATGTATGAGAATAATGTTGGTCCTGTTTTTATTATTAAAAATAAAACAAAGGTATAAACAATGCCTTGAATGTAACCAATAAGAATTTTTATTTTGTTTATTGTATTATTCTTTTATCTTCTTCCTATTTGTGTAGCACTTTTTTGGTTTCAATTCTCTATCGACTTTCTGTACTTACGTGAATAAATAATAAACTCCTTAGATAGTAACTCTTCAGTGGTAGTATCAATAACAATAATGGTTGTTGAATTTTAGTTCATTTTATGTCACAGTTCTACTCTTTTAAAATTTACTTGTTAGTTTTTCTTTTTTTGATTTTCTTCGGATGATTGTTTTGAATATGATAATTTTCCTTAATCAAACTATTCGTATACACTTTATCTTGGAATTTGAAGTAACAGTAAAGCAAGTGCTTTTCTTATTGCTTTCCAGAGGCAACCTTCGTACGTCTTTTCGACTGCTAATTTAAGAGTATATATTAAAAATTATTTGGTTTGTACTATTCGTTGTTAATCGATTAAAAGTCTTTGTGGAGCTATGGGATTGAGGACACCCACTTATCAGATTATGTCTCAGTTTATGCTGTTTTTACCCGGTTGTCTTGTTTACCAATCAAAAATATCATACTTCGAGATCTCTTAGTTGTCTTGCGTGTGTGTGTGTGTTTGTGTAGGTGGTGCTGATACTATAAACGAAACCTGTCAACAACTGTTCTATAGAAAACTGGTATTGTTATTCATCTTAAAGACGAACTGACCTATCGTTTGTGGGATGGGCCGGAAAACTGTTAATTGGCGAATGAAAGTTGAATGTCATAATTGACCGATATTCATCAGTGTTTAGACTAGCAGTCAGTCAACTGAATATACGGAAAATTTCAGTCGATTAGCTCTTACTTTAATAGGATTTTATTAAATTCTAAAACCCCATATCCTTTTGTATTCTATTTCAGTGTAATCCTTTCACTACATAAGTGATTGTTTTTTATTTTTGGTGGTCTTTCCTGTTAGTGTTTTTCTCCGGATTTCTATCCAAATGCATACAGGTGGTATGGCTAAATTTGTTGTGATGTTACAATTGCGTCAGGTTATCTCCTTTAGACTTAGGACACAGACTGGGAATCCAGATGACCTAGCAACTTCTTTTTTCGAAGTAATTCCATGTCATATTATGTCATGAGGATCGACAAAAATTGGAGTAACTAGGCGAATGTCACATATCTGCTTTATCTTCTACCATTATTGACGACGTATTGGTTTCTACATAGCCTAGGATATTATTTCTTGTTATGTTGTTTCTTTGTTAGATGACTTTCTATCCCTTGTTGGATATAAGCTACGACTGTTGTATTGTATGGATAGTTTCTTACCAATATGCTAAATATGGCGTATGCTAATTACTTGATAAATATTCACATATAGTTAAACATGCAGATAGTTGAATTAAAAACGCGTATACCTATACATGGGGTTTCTAGAATGGTATTCTATAAAAAGTATGTCTAAGTGTGCAAATATGCAGCTATGGGAAAAAAAGCTCTCCAATTTAAAATCTTTATAGTTTATGGTTGTGGAAAAATGCCAACGAGGTGACGTTTTCTGGTTACAATACTCCTACTTTTATCTTCGTAGACATTTGGCAGGTGATGGGGTCAGTATTGTCATGATTGCTCATAAGTCTGCACGAAGTAAAGCAGTACTGAACAGATTCGGTTCTATTGCCAGTTATCATGTATTACTCTAGCTTACCTTAATATTTATCTAATTTTGTGATTTCTTTCAAAATATTTGCTATTCGTGTTAACAAGTGTATAAATGCTAGTTTTGAGTTAGGCTCATTTAGTTCGATATGATACATTTAAGGCATGGAGTTGTTAATAAATGTAAGGAAAGGTAAGAGTGAAAAGAAATCAACATTAACCCTTATTAAAATTAACTAAGGTTAAAAGACGAATTATCAAGGCATAGGGAAACTTACTACACCTTCCTTTTGTGAACACGGAAATCCCATTTAAGCCGTTTAACAGCGATGGTCTCTTCAAACTTCAAGAGACTTCATCTTGATTGTTTGAATATTGTATGAAAAGAATCCAAGATGTCTGTTTAATGACCTGAGTCAATCAGATGTCTGATGATTGAGCTGCTCAAAAATTCACTTCCTCTTAATCTCAAACTCTTCGGTATATATTCAGGAAATCTAAGATAGACCCGTCTCCCTATTCTTCCAATATATCTGCTT